GAGTCGTTTTTATATACACCACACCTATCGTAGAGGCTTTTTGACCTTGGCAAAACACGAATAGGAAGTATCAATCGAAAGTGTTGTTTCTGCAACTTCACCCTACCGCCTTTAGAGCCTGAATTCAAGGCGAGATTCTGCGACCCGAGCCAAACGATGACGACAGCCTTACACGGCAACAAAAACTTTTCACTACTATATAACACGTGGCCAACAGGAAACGAGAAATCGGAAAAGGATGAGCGATAAACGAGAACTTCGATTACTTATTTAACAACATAGTACGTTTATATTCATACCTGTTATTACGCTCAAGTGCTTAGGGCTATCTCCTAGAGACGCTTTATACTTTACCTCTGACTGTTTCGGACATAGGCCTGTTTACGTGAGATGTGCAGTTCGTTTTTGCTTTCGTTCAGTACTAGCAGGATTAGCAGCTTGTGGATGAATGCAGCTAAGCTGCCGACAGATTTGTCGCGCACCGAGGGCTGAGGCAATTTTTAGTTATACATGGCCTGGAGCTGCCATGGCCTTATGATGGTAGGCGGAAGGAAGAACATAATTAGTCAATTTTTGCAAACCAGTTAGGATCCAGGGGCGCTCGAAAGATGTAGACAACATTTGACAGCAGCCATAATCAACGAACGGCAAGAGCATGTTAATCTACCCATGTGCCTATAATACACTAGGAGTGAGGCAGCCGAGCAGAATTTATGTGTCCAATACAAAATGCCCCCGTAGTACAGGCGGTCTCTCCTAACAACAGGTCAAAGATCTTACAAGGATTGTAGGGCAACGAACAATACGTAAAAGAGAAGCAAGAAAGAGGACCATTGAATGCTTGTCAGTAATATTACACATATGCAAAAAAGACCGTCAAGTATTACTTTGTGCTTGATAATAATGGAATGGGCAACACGTTGGGGTAGGTGAGGAATAAGACCAAATCATGAGAACAACGAAAACGATAGGCCGTTCCTGCTTAATAATAATAATAAGCAATATTTTACTGATTAATGAGGAAGAGATCGGAACAGCTTATATGATCGTTACCTGCATAGCTCTTTTCATATCTGCTAATCCACTATTAATACACCAAGTATAATGATCGATAACGAGCGCTTCCGTAAAACGCGACCAGGGCATTCTGTCTATTTAAAAAACAAACTGTTGAAAATCGTTCAAGCAAACGAGCAACTAAAACCATACATAATATATATATATATATATATATATATCACGAAACTACTAAGGGATACTTACGCTTTTAATGATACAGTTATACTATTTTATGAATAGAGTGGTTAATAAGTGGCTTTTTTTTTTGATTTGGTTATTCCAAGCGTATCCTTGTTGCATATTCGTAAAGCATTTGGTACCCGTAATAAGGAAAGATAAAATGTACGCCGCAGCTCTGTTCTGGTTAAGAAAGAACTAAAAACACTACAGTAAATAAATATGCCACAAAATGTGTTAAAAGCAACCATTTAGAAAATTAGGGTTCCAGTAGAAAGAAGTACGATAAAAGAGACCTGCGGTGCTGACCGTTTAGTCATATAATCCATATGACCTCCATAATCTCCAGCTTCATAACTTCATTGCGTCCGGAAAAACAGAGCTTGCATTTATTTCAATAAGGCCTAGTAACAGCCTGTGGCTAAAACGCGCTACATCGCTCGTTTAAAGTACGTAACGAGTCGAAAAATAAAAGCTAAATGCTCTGAATTACTTGCCAGTGCAAGGGAGCAAGTACTACATGTCCACAAAGTCACCTATACAGATACATAGATATCATAAAAATATTCTCACCCCCAGTCAATTGTCAACCTCACTTTTGGTTGAATAAATGGCATATAAAAAACATCAGCTCTATTGGCACACCGCATCTTTGCTTAAGGCCAATTTGCTCAAAGAATAGTTGGAGACAAATTAGAGAATTTTTAAGACCATTTTGGACCGAATTCACTTGCAAGTACAACTTGTCGCAATACTCACGTCTAGGAATAATAATAATAATAATAAAGATAACTTCATTGACAAGTTTGCAAGTATAAAACTGCGCCTATTAATATTTACCGTATAGGACCGGAACCTGAGATCCTATGGTTCTGAGCGTCTCGGGTTGCTTCTATGCTATGCCGGCGGGCATTCGAAACCAAAACCTCGCAAAAGTTATATCGCAGGACGAAAAAGTCAGGCCAGAATGTTGGTTAGGAGGCGCTCTCTCAAATAGATGTAACCACGACTTAAGATAGACCAAGATACACTATTATCTCCTAGTATACACGTAAGCTTCCTAAACGTTGTGTACATATAGACGTTAACTGGCTGTTAGCGTTGCTACCGCGCTCCAGGAAGGCCCGACAAGCAAAATCTCCCAGGCCAAGCTTTATGGCAATAGATTACGACGCGGAAAATCGCTCTGCTAAAAAGATGTTTATCTAGCTTAAGCTTGTGTACAATGACTTCCACATCTTTATCGCTTGTCTCAAGCTCTAGGGGTTAGGTGAAGCTTAATATTAGAAAGTAATAGATTGTAACAGACTAGGCTGTGAAGCTTAGAAGCGGGTATTTACCTAAATGAGCACAATCTATAGTTAGACCTAGTATTTGCAGAATTCCAGGAAATTTCAAAGCAATATCCGATTACGGATTGTTATCTGTTCTCGGCATGGAAAATTATTGGTGCCTAATATTTGTACTTTAGAAGAAGTTCTGAGATCATGCAATTGAGATTCTGCAAAGTGAACTTAAACTAATGTTAAATAGATACCTAGACATTTTGTTGAATTGATTTGAGCGTCTATGTCTATTTTATTATATGATTTTTAGGACGCGTGTCCAAATTAACTTAAGTGGAAGATAATTCTGCTGCGTGTGACTTGGGTTGCGAAGCCACGATATTATCGTAACATCCATAACGGAGTTCGCTAAACTTAAGGACGCTCTTTCTTATCACTATTCCGTTAATGATTCCTTGCTTTGACGTTGGTAAACAATGATATATTTGTGAATATAATATAAGGCACAAAAGATGAACTGCGCACTAGCAGATTTTGCTCATTCTTACTTTCCCATATTATTTTGGTCCCGGGTTTTACGTTGATTTTGCAAATTTCCAACGTGTCTTTCGCAACATCATTTCAAATCGTCAACTTTTATGTTGCCACCCCCTGCTACTTCTTCAAGTTCTGCTATGGCGTTGCTTCATTTTGCGTTCCGCGCAACGAGCGGTAGTTGGTAAGCTTCAGACATTATACGGGTAAGCACAACTGGCCATGTTTCGGAACAGCTGCTTGTCAAGCCAATAATATGTCAACATACTCGTCGGTGCTGGAATAAAAGCTACGCAAGAAAGGCCTCCTTTTAGGTGACTGACATCTGCTCATTCCGCCATGCGTTAAAAATTCGACTGGCTGGCGCGGTCACCGTTGGAGAAAGCTTCTCTTCGCAAGTCCTCTGGTGGCCTAAAGTAGTCTTCGATCGAGGCAACTTGCGTCAAAGACGCTGTGAGCTATCTAGACGCTGTAAGGGAAAATTGCTGTATCAGGAAGAGCACCAAAAGTAGCCAAACGCTACTGAAGCCAAATAAACGCGTTTAAAAGTGTCCCATTGACTGAAGGGAATCCGAGGTCTAAAGTGACGAGGCTAACATAGATCAGTCAATTTTTGGTCTATGCATTCGATCATTTCATGTTACTTTTGAAATGTACGTTAACAAGCATACAGAACATACACACACATACAAACAAGAGTCCATACATATCACAATACCAATTGAGGGCTGGCTACAAAGATATCTTCATTCTGACCCGAATAAGCAAAAGTATAGAACAAGCAATTTTTTACAAAAGAAGAAAAATAATATGACACCTATTTCCTATCGTACTAATGGTCGAAATAACGTGGGAACAAAATCATCAACTGCACAATTCATTTTTTCTCTGAAGCACACTTCTCTTTTTATGATTCGGAAAATCTGAGGTCTAGGATCAATCTGTTTAGTTCGCACGGCGGCTGCGCTCATGATTCTTTCTGATAATCTAACACTCAAAGGCCAACTCCACGGACCAGACATGAACAACAAGAAACCTACTAAAGGTTCTTTTGCTAGGAAAGGTTGTAACACACCGCCTGCGGCTGACAATCGTTACATGAGTTTCCTATGTTCTGTTTCGTCTCCTTTTAAGTTATATAGGCTGCTGGCCTGACGCCGATGACGCGAAGCGGCTGTCGCCTCGGTAGGTTTTGCGGTACACAGATTAGACGGCCGAGGCAGTGCCGGCGAAAGGCTAAAGCTTCAATTTTTATACCTCGGTTACGGCAGCGGTATGACGGCAAGGAAAGCAAAAAAAAAAAAAGGAAGGACATTGAGGAAGGGTGGATGAGGCAGACAGAAAAGGACTGATGCGCCGGGCCTGCTTTCGTAACTTATGTATATATATATATACAAGATACAAGAATATCTTGAAGGAAAATCTTCATTTCAATAAAACTATTTGAATAACCACGGTAGCCATTGTGATGACCATCGCATTTTACACATATACTAATTGTTATGGCACTACTGCAACATTATGGGAATATAGAAATACGTTGCACAGTTAAATCTGCTCATTGCGATAATTATCGTATATCCTATTACCTTAACAGATGTGAAATGAAGATTTTCAATAGATTTTTCAATGTTACTTTTAGTCTATTACATATATTTAATATATATATAAAACATATTTTACATGTATATATATATATATATATATATGATTTCTGTCTTTGAAAGTTTAATGCAAGTATATATGTGGAAGAAAAATATTCCTATGACAAATTTTAGAAATTAAATACATAAAGTCTATAAATTCATTTTCGTAAAGACCTCTAGGGTAGGATAGATGCGCGTACTATTCTATAACTAACCCATTGTCTGTGATTCTATTTGAATATTAACAAATATTCTTACGTTTTTCATATTTCCTTCTATTTCGGTACGATTATTACAGGTGGCACATCAATTGAGTGGCGGCCGAGTGCGACGGCACGCGCGCGCACTGAACAAATCATGCGCAATCCCGGCTAAAATGGCGGCAAGACCCCATTGCGCCGCCGTTGAGGGGCCTCGTCGGGAGAGACTGCGGCCCGGGAGGCGGGGACGGTTGTGGGGCTCAGGGGGACAGCGGCAAAGACAGAAGCAGGGGTACCCGTACACTTTTGCCGACGTCGCGGTACCCCAACAGGATAGCCGGGTGGCCCTTGTACAAAAAAAACAAGCGGCAACACAGGGACCATTGCGTAAGCCAGTGGCGTCCCCCAGGCAAGAAAATCCACTCATGACAGAAGCTTTAGCAGTAGCAACAGTTTTAGAAGACGACGAAGAAAACCGGCCCACAACATACGACTTCCCTAATCGTTGTCATATCGGAGCGAACGGAGAAGAACAAAAGCGACTACGGCAACAGCACGAACAACATCATCAAAAGGACAAAAAAAAAGCTACGAAAAGTAGAGAAAAAGCGGCGAAATCAACAAGCGCTCCCGTCACCGTTGTCACAGCTACTGCATCTGCAGCATTTACGTTGTAGGAGTAGAACTAGTAGAATGTACTGCTGTGCGTCTCTGCCTTGACCTTGTCCTAACAAACGATAGGTACGACGCAGAAACGTTGCTGATATTACTTGGCATAAAGGTAAGAAGGAGAAGATTCTTCCACGGTTGCAACGAAGCCGAAAACGCAAAAGTAAATCTAGAGAGTAATCACAATGATATAGTTTTGTACATTGTATGTATTGTAAAAGCAAACAAAAACGAAAGCAAAAAGGAGAAACAATATAAGAAGAATGAGACATACTGTATTTGCGTTGATGCGATCGTTTGTCGACAGTGACGTACAGCGGCAGTAATAGCAAAAACGAAAAATAGTTGGTGTGCCCGACAGAAGAAAACAACGTATGATGTAGTAGGTCATTGGGAACAAGCGTCAAATAAATGCCCGTCGAAGTTACAGAGCAAATTTTTTAAAACAAAAACAGTAGGAAAGAGGCGGACCATCGAAATGACTGAGGAAAGCCGGCTTACAGATCAACCATCACCCGCACGTCAGCAGACATCCCAGCATCGTCTGAGTGCAGGAATTTTACCGCTTACGCGTAAGTAAACTCGAGTTGAAACATTTTGTTCTTGAAAAGGTTTTTCGGGTATTTCATTATAGATAGGCCGAGGAATACATGTGAGTGCCAACATTGTTGACGAATGGTGTTGTGATGAGGAACTGAATGAAGATTGTGATATTTGCGGTTGTCCAGAAGGTGCTCGTCGTATTGTATTTCGATTTAAAAAATAATTAGGCTTACCTTGTCTTTTTTTTCAAAATTTACTTTTCTTTTCTCATATTAGTTATGGGTGGTTACATGATTTTAGTGATTTCCATTAGTACCATTTTACCAGAACTAAAATTATCGTGATCTCCGTGAATATAGTGGGGTCCAGATACAGATATGTATAGAAAGAGAGAGAAATAAAATAGTTTCAAAAAATCCTTACTGGGTGTTGATAACCAACGCTGCCATAGACGAAGAGCATCCCTCTATCAACAAGGAAGTGGGCTTAAGGGGACAAAGAGGACAAATGACGATAAACTGTTACAGATATAAACGGAGACAAGGTCGGCATCTGGTAAGGAGTCCATTATCGAAAACTCCATAGTAAGCGATTAGGCTTCATCAACCAATCAGCAGGAAAAACGCAAACAAGTATTTGCGTTTTTCTGTTAAAAATGTGTGGAAATGGTTCTCTCATTGGCCTATTGGTTGTAATTATCAACGCATGCTGAACGTTTCACTGCTAAGTTAGCCCAAATGTGAACACTTTTGTACTTAGTAATAATATACTCTATAATCTTATCCATGACTAGCCCGTGGGTTGCCTTTTGCTCAACCTGCATCCATCAAATACGTGCACATTTGTACAAATCTATTTGTATCAACTGTATTTACTGAAGCAATTTCAATCAAATATCGCATACTACAGTTGGTTTCATTTATATGGGTATCCTTTTCAGCTGTTTGCTTATATAGCTATAAATATGTACGCATAAATATCATTATAACGTCCGTCCATGTTCACGGACCTATTCCAATTACGATACTAATGATTAAAATCATCAAAAGTCTTCGAGGTCACGTCTGTGTATTGCTTATTCTATGATTGTAAGGCGCATGCACTGCGTTGAATGGCAATGCCAAACACCGCACGCGGAACGTAAGTTGCGTGCAAGAATGTCTAGTCCACACAGGAGGCATTCGCACGTGTGGACAATGCCGACATCACTAAGGCTTGGGGATGATACGCTAGATCGTTCCACGGCAGAACCCACGAACATTTTGCGGGACGCGAACGGGAAATTGTCGTCGCCCAGTCGACACCAACGAGCATCGATATTCGATCGGTATCACCGGCATCCACTGTTACAGAAGTCTTAACGTTTTTTATTCAGCTCGTGCACTTTTCCACCAACTATTCTAGCATCCTGTGAGTGGGATTAGTGCCGGAGAAAGTGCTGCGGCGTAGCTGAGATGGTACAAAACAGATAGAGCTTGCCAGCGGGCTTCGACAAATCTTAAAGACATCACTGCCATCAGGGCCATACCCCGTTTGTTGAAGCGTGATGGACTCGCCGGTAGCCCTCAGAGATGACAACAAGTATTTGGTAGCTGCGTTGTGGTGTCAGCGAAAGTCAACTCAGATGAGCAGCTAAATAAATTATAGAGTGAAAAAAGTGCCTAACAATAGGCACAAGTCTGCATACGACAGAAATATGATAAAAGCGATGTGCAATCCAAATTTTCAGGCGCTTGCCTGAAACCGCATCTTCTACCAATTTATTCTTGTGCGTCTATCTGGCTGAGGCAAGATAGACTAGGCCTACGTTGGAAGGGCGTTTTCCTGGGTAGTGTTGAAAAATAATGATGAATGCTTGCGTTTGATAAAGTAGTACTTGATAAAAATTTTATCATAACGGGACGTTTGCCGTTGATCAGAAGCTTTCACAAGTGACTTGAATGCGCTTTAAATGACGGTCAACTTGATAACGTACGGTAGATTTAAATCAACATAAGGTTGATTTAAGGGGAAATTGGGTGCATTTTTTTTAGCTCAGGTAAATTATCTCACGTAGCCATGAATACGGGCTGAAATGTTTTCGGTTGCTAATCATTAAATTTATTTGCATAGCTGTACTATGGACTATCGACGGGAACCTGTCCATGTACCCAAGAAACGTTTCCAGCATCTATTTACTGCCCGAATAAAATTAAATTCGACCTAATTTTTCACTATCGTACTTAAAATTATTGAATCTATAAGATTTACTTGACTTATGTACGAAGAACCACTCATACAATCATGCGAGATACGGAACCGTCCGTATCCTATACAAGGGGCTTCGTTGGAAATATAAATAACATAACTAGAGATAGACTATCTCTGTGCATGCCTATTAACAGAATTCGAGCGGGAATAAAGGATGTACCAACGATGTAAGAACTATAGAAGATTTTCAGTTTCAGACAAGCTCTCTACTCTGGCTATAGTCATTCATCGTTAAAATTCTCTGTCTTAATATAAGGTTAAATTCATCACAACGTGCATGTCAGCCGCTAAACTAAACGTTGAACTATAGGACGCGTGATTTCTTCGAAGGCTAGCTCGTCGCTTATCCGTGAACTCGATATTGAATCATCAAGGTGGCAGCGATTAGCTAGAATATTACCCCTCAGATTTCAACGTGTGTTTCTTAGTTACTGAACAATCATTTGATTCCCCTCGAATTTCTCGTATTTTAATTTGTGGCTTTGATACAGGCTACGCCGCAACCTTCAAGGGCTATCCGTAATCTCTGTACGAACCTTTCTAATTCCCTCGCCAGCCTGGGAGCAAAATTCGTAGCTTCCAATTTTAGACTCTTTACACCCCTTCTTTACCTTGCCGCTGCCCCCGGGGCACTTGCAAAAGCAGACAGAAATAGGCCAAACCCTGGACGACTAAATAGTAGCTGTCCATTTTTCACGAACAGTAAACGTATTGCACAACTATTTGACACTGACATCTGGTCGTTGTGCTTCATGAATCAAATCGGTCCGGTAGCCCTTTCCTTGTACAAGACCGAATTCTACGAACTAGCGGCTGTGTAAGGAAAGTTTACCCGAAATAATTTCTTTTTATTGGTGGCACGAAGCAGGAGTACGCATACGACACACCCCGTTCCATTTGCAGACGACAATGAGGCTGCTGCACTCGAAAACGATATTCTGCACCATTGGAGCTTTTAGAAGGTCGAAACAGGATATGAGTAGGTAACTCCGTTGTTACTATTTATAATGATGTATCATATGTGCAATTATACGCAACATAAGAAGGACAAAACGACACAGTCTAAGAGACAATTTTCGCTACGCCGATAAAAAAAGTCACAGAATAGTGGTGTCTACTAGTGGAGGAAATTGCAGATTTAAGAGCTAAAGCTTTTGCCATAGCAAAGGAGTAATAAACCCTTTAACAGGTCGGAAAAAAGATTTTTAAATAGAACATCGATATGTTTAGGAAGCACTGAAGAAGCACAGTGACGTAAACCCCATCCAGTCATTTACATTTAATCTTGTTACTGCATTATCCTCTCATACAATATGGTAATCGTCGTATTGGCGCAAAGTTGAGGTTTTTTGTTTTTTCGTTTTTGCGTCGTTGAACTATTCCGTAGCAGAATACAACTACATTTGGTCTTGTCACTACTAAAAAGAAGACTTGATCATCTACAGCACTATTTTATTAACTTAGCCATGTCCGTCTTACGCACCCTATGCGGTAGATCTTTATGCAACTTCCATCCGCAGCAGGTGAAGTTTCTCTGCCGGGTATCTGAGACTTTAAGGGTCGCTTTTAAAATCAGGTGCTGCAAAACTATAGAGTATGTTACATACTAGACAGGTTCTGTGAAAAGTACCGAGCTGTGCACTTTGATCTGCACGCCAATAGCAGTGGATCATATCTGGTCTGACGGTGAACAATAGTTCTGAAGGATAGCATGTAAAATCAGGTAATCTTCCCTGTGTTGTCTGTTCGTCTACCAAATAACTGCGTTCTACGACCACTTTTCAAAGCAAAATGCAGTGGAACTTGAATCATGACAACCACCTCGTCATAATATCAGTAGATAAGTTATGCTGATTATTTAATAGAATTAAGAAATACGCCCGATTAACTCTGTATATAATGTAATACCATATAATGTGCTAATTAACCGCATAGATTTAAGCGAATAATCAATTTTTTCCTTGCTATAGCCAATATACCTGAAGTACAGTACTGTCACCCTAGGGGATCGATGCTTTTATCGCCAATTCGAACCATTAGTCTATCTTTACGGTATTCCATAAGTCCCCCAAATCAGTTCTACGGAAATTACGCATTTTATGAATTTGGCGCATAGATAACCTAGCTATTTTATGTACTTCCCAGCATACTTCAAACGACAATTACGAAACCAGTAGTTATGAAGTAGCATTTATACAAAACACGAGCAGATGGCTGTATGCCAGAAGTTAACGACAGCGCAATCGATACAAATCCGATTCCGCACAATTTGACAATACCCACACAAGCTTCTTAACCCTTCACTACTTAACACCATACAGTGTGAGCGTAAGTTCTCCTTGCCCCAATGGGCAAGCAGTGAAGCAAGGGGAACCTACGCGTTGAGGCTGATACCTGACAAACCGCATTCAGCCCATTTAGCTGTGTACGTGCAGCCGATGTACACATGCAAGAACCGGTGTGCGCACATGCATACTAGTTGTGAAAGAATGGGGTAGGTAGGAAAGATATGGACGATGTGAGCACGGATACCCCCTAATGATAATATTTAAGTCAATCAGCCAACCAGTCAAGCGGCTGGGTATAAGGTCATATGCGTCGTAGAAGTTAAAGAAATTTTAAAAGTGGTCGTAAAAAGAAGCTTTTTTTTTAGGTAGATGGCGTCGGAGTAAGGAGGATTTGCACACAGTAAGATCAGCTAGTCGATATCTTGTGCTTCATTCCAGCCAATACATTGAGTCGGATTACGGCGTTGCTGCTAAGCGGCCAATAGCCCCGC